GTGATGAATCTTCCTCGCTCTCTCTCTCTCTCTCTCTCCAGTTTTCGGTGATAATTTAAAAGAACCAAAATTTACGAGAACGGAAGTAAAACATTATCAGAAGCAATCACTTCGTTTACTTTTTCTGATAGCCGAGGTGAAACTGCCAGTGATATTTCATGTGGTTCATGAGAAACAACATTTTGAGTAGGCTGAATTATTATCCCATAGATTGCTCCCGGCGGAGAGGGACAGTTGTTGCGCTGATATCCAGGTAAACGAACAGCATTTCTATTTTACAGAATTAATCGTTTTGCTGCAGGTGAACCGGCAATTTTGTTTTCATAGTGCATGACTAAAAAGGGCTATTACCTCATTGATTTTTTGAAATGATCCATCATACGGTATCAACGCCTTACTCAGCGCAGAAAATCAAGTGGCTTTGTTGGAATCAGTGCGTATTCACCGAACTCTGTTTGAGAGTCCAACACTCATAGTTGTCGGTCACATATGCTTTACCACTCGGTAGATATGTACACGGCTGGTAAATACCAGCGGATACAAAACAGATAATGGGTTGAATGTTCATGCTGCACGATAAATCATTGTACGAGCACGTCGTACTGACTCTCAGATTTTGACTACTGTTCGTGTTTGTATGCTCATCGAACCGGGCTCCAGTCCTTTCTGCTAAAGTACACGTAAACTCAGCTGGAAGGAATCTGACTGGTAAATAATATAAATTAGAATCAGCAAGGCTTTTCGAATGCTTTTGTTATCTCTATCAGATAGAACTGTATTGTTGTGTGCATGTCACTCAGACCTTATTTACCATTACGATTTAACTGGTAAAATAAATGATCAGCTTTAAATAACTAATCACTAACCTACTTCTCAATGGTGAAGTCCATTTTGCGCACGTATTTGGCCTTCATTGTTGTACCCGTAAGCTTCCTAGAAAATCGTCAAGCACCAAAGTTCATAATTCATGCACCTTTCCTAACTTTTTCAGGCAATTTGCAGTTCAGAATTTTCGTGCCCTTATGGAGAATTCGGGGGTTAATCCAAGTTTTTGTAAGCCCGCGGTACGAAATTAGAGTATTAGAAGTAACTTCAGCCTGAACTGTTCACGCTAGTACATTCCGCCTGAACGTGTGATCTTATTCGTGAGAATCAGAGGGGCGTGAGTAGTTGGATTTTGGAATGCTAGCAGAGGGATTGAAACGATCCTCGTTCGAGAAAATTAAGTGTCATCAGCGAATAGGATTTGGCTATGTGCTATCACAGTTATTCCTTCTGGTTTGTCCCAAGAATAATTCTGCTAATTTTGAAGTCTGAGATCATCCTGGGGTCACATCAATCTATTTTCAGACTTGTTATTCCAAATTATTATTGTTGATCGACCCAAGTAAGACCCGCTCAGTATGATCAGAACTCATCAAACCTGGTAGCCTAGTGGTTCCTACTTATTTTGTAGCATGGTTGCGCAAGAGACCAGCGGAAGAGGTACATCTCATCACCTCAAAAGCAAGCAGTACTATTAGGGATAACCTGCAACCAGACTCTGAGACTTGGAGTGAAGACCCACGTAAGGCCCCAGTAGGTCAGGTAGGCAACTAGTCCGAAAACGGATACAATATACCTGCACAAAAGAGCATAACCAATTTTGCCTAGAAAATTATGTTCTCAAATATATTTGATCCAAAAATGTTTTTTGTTCAGGGACTGAGTCTCAGTGAAAGTGTTTCTTGTCCGGTTCTGAGGTGTTTATTGCAAAGTGAGGGATTTCTATAAGAAAATTTTTCTGGGCTGCAAGTGTTTCTCGTGGGGAGTTTATTGCACTCAGGGAGGTTATAATCCGAGGAGGCTATTTTATAATAGTTATGATCATTATAATTATAATTATTGCTGCTGTTTTTGATCGTCTTCCCACGAGAATAAGGCGACGGATTTTTCCGTCACTTCGTTCACTTTCCATAATTGGCTACTGTCAAAGATTTCAGTAGTATAAATCAAAATTTGAACCAGAATCACAAAACTACTTTTCCTGCCTGTTCGGTCGAAATGTCAAAGTTAGCAATGAAAAAGAACGAAAACATTCATATTTTTTATCACTGTGCAGATTGAGATAGAAGGAACGTTGATGGCTGGCTACCACTTCTTGCTTTACTATGGAAGGGAATTCATGGATCCCTTACTGAGCTCAAGTCCTTAGCTCATAATTACAAAGTTCCATCACATCTAATCAATTAACTTCAAACAATATTCAGTTAAACAGTCATTTTTAAGCTTTTTCCAAGTTCTGGATTTGCGTATGCTGCTAAACAAAAGGCAAGTGCGAAACCCTATGAGATATTTAGCTGTGTGTGGGTTAATGGGCTCTGGCAGCACCAGATAACTTATTTGTTCCACTTAAATCCGGCCTTCGTCACTCGAAGTACTTTATTATACTGCTATCCGTGCATTTGTGAAACCTTTAATTTTTATCAGAATAACCATATAAGCCATTTCAAGCCGGAATGAATGGGTACACCCATGTTAAGCCAAAGACTGTATAGCTCTTCAACGCTGATACCCCATTGATATGTAAGTGGTGATCCATACCACCTACCCGAAGAAATTCGCATACCTTCTAAGGACTCATGATCAACTGATTGTCTAACTGAATTCCCGTTCAAAGTGAAACACTGTGCAAGAGCCCGTGAAGTTGACCGCTTCTGTGAACTATCTACCCATGAAGCTGCCATAATTGTGATTTGCACGAAAAGTACGACCAATGGACTGACTAATCAAGTAGTTGTATACCATTTTATGTTAAAACCTGGTCTCCGAGCTGACTACGCCGGTGAAGAGCCACTATGTGTGCGCAGATCGTAATGGTCAGGACAATGACAGCAGTAATTGACTTTAAGCCTCAACACATTGCGGCAATGACATTGTTTCTCGTGATTTTTTCTAGAATCGTACGATTATTTCATCCTTTTGTGATAAAAATATGGGTGGACTTTTCATTAGCAAGTCTAGCGGATTGAAACCGATTAGCTTGTGTTTAATGTTAAACGTGATCAATCTCATTTTAACCTTTACCGCTTTCTTGATCGTAGCTGGCTTCATTTCTTCCGAAACAACTACCTCTACTAACCTGATGTTTAATATGTCATCATTTTAATGTTTTGCTTAGTGAATGTATTCTTACATGTCCCTCAAGGGCATAAGTTTATCACAAACGTCGCTTGGGTAGCTTGCATCAGGTTCAAGCCCCATTAGCTTTGTATTGAGCCTGAAGGATACAGATCGTAATGAAGCGATGTTTCAAGAAAATATAATGCCGTGATTATTTCAGGAGATTCCAGCGGGGCACGAGAACAGGTGAGAGAGACTGACCTGTTTGTAAAAAATCACCAAAGGTGCGAAATCATGCATCACGAGGGCTCTGTGTATTAATGTAAATCTATACAACATTATCTACTAGAAAAGAGTTGACCAAATAATAAGTTCACGAGACAATGAGAAAATTATGATACTGGCAAAAAACCTCCGTAGCTTTTGTTGTCCATGTGCTGGATGCAGTTCGAAACTGAGTGTTGGCTTATTTTTCATCGAGCACGGCTTAGGTCATCTGACATAAATTTTCGTTGGTTTCTGACAATCTCTGGAGAATAAAGTTGCCTTGTATGCGGATTTTCATCGTATACTTGAATAGAAAATAATGCAAATCTGAATGGACTAAGTAACCTACAGATAATCACTGTTGATATGAAAGAAGCAGAGCAAAACTAAGTCACTTTCGTGTCCACTTTTTTATCCTAAACAATTAACCGATGTCATCGTACTAATATTTTCGGAAATTGCTGCTGACAGCCTTTGGTATCACAAATAACCTGACCAAAATTTTGTTAGGACTACACCTTGCCGGCTGCTAAAACTGTATAACTCTGTTTTCTTCCTCTAGAATTTTTGAAATTTGAAGTGGGTTTCCTTATTTTGAGGGGGACGATTTTTGTCCTCATCTTCAAGAACGGCTGATGAGATGACTTGTTACGTTTTCTAAGAAAAGTGGGTTCGCTGGCTCCCCTTTGCCTTTCCTGTGTGAGGAAAGGTTGAGTATTCTTATTCACCTATGGCTTCACGTTTCAACTACGTACGGATTTCACGGCAAAGGTTTTGACAATTAGATGTTATGTACGGTAGATTGTCATAGTCAGTGATGTTTTTTTACCCTCCTGCTTTTCTATTACATGTTTATGTATGAATTTCGTGGGAGGGATTCCCATTGCCCCAAAGCGCTAGCAGTGATAACCGCCAATCAGACCCTGAGAATTGGAGTGGAGAATTATAAGAAGTCCCCATAGGTTGGGGATGATAACAAACGGGGTGACAGTCGGTCATTATTTACTACGAAATTGATCGACGGTGGCAGGATTCGAACTTCGTACCTCCGAGGCAACAAATGTCTGAGACACTAGACCACCACGGGTAAAGCTACATTGTGTGAGGAGGGATCTCTTGAGTGGCTCATCATAGCAGCCCTTTTTAAGCTAGGCCTTTTTGGCCAAAGATGATTACCTGTCTTTAGCTCGAAACTCGCTTACACGAATTGAAAACACCATTGAATCTGACAACGAGGGTAAGTGATAGAATGCTGTATTACTAGAATGTCGGTTATTTGTATTTTAGGCTATCAAGTCTCCTTATGGTTCCGCATACCCACAAAATATCACTTCATAATGTGCAAGTACAATACCATCTATTTCCGATAACATAAATATATCAGTATTTTTAATTATATTTGTGATCATAGACTATTAAGAGGACTATAGAACAGTGGTAATACTTGAAGGAGATGAAAAGATGAAAAAACGAAAGAATATGTTTAATCAAATTACTCGATCTTTGTAGATCCCTTGCGGCTGAACTTTTGTCGTTATTACTCCAGTGGCAGGATATCTTCTTCCATTGATTATTTTCGTTTACACGATAGACAGAACAACGAAAGATTTATGTTGTGAGTGGTCGCGTATTCAGCAGCCCAGATATGAGGCCACAGAAGCACCCGAGTTGGCTGAACTGTGTGCTGATACAGCCGTCTGTTCCGTTTCCAGTCCAGAAGATACATGGTGATAGACAGATAACATGTCACCCATGTCCACATGTTGCATCTGTCTATTGCGAAACCCTTTGGCGAACGGATTGTTCTCAATTTTTACTCGGATCACTTCGGGATTCTGATAAGCAGTCACGGTGTAGAATTGGGTGCCAGGAATAAGGTAACTACCAACGAGTTCCAAATGGTTCTGACCCACATCTGTCACATTTGTCCCGTAGACACTTGAACTGCTGTTTTCTCCGTGTGCAACGGTTCGAACCATTGTGGGATTTGTCACACGAAAGATGGTAAACCGCGGCGCATACTGATGCATACTATATACATGAATCTGAAGAGGGAACAAAACCTTAAGTGGTTGGTCGTTTCGTTTTTCAGGAATAAAACATTTTTATCTCATGCATTACAGTTTCTCCAAACCATTGCTTCATCAAGCTGCATGATGTTTCAGAACCAGTTAATGCATAATCACTGCCCATCCGAGACGTGGTTTAACTGAGAAACTCGTTTTCTAGAAATTTACTGGAACATGAAATACAAACATTCGGCTTAGTAGGTATATTTACCAGCCTACTATTAGATGGTTTATTTCCCCACAAAACTGCTCATTAATCTAACAATCGAAAAGTGTGAACAATGTTAATACAATGTGATGGAGACTCAAATATGTAATGGATCTAGTCATTCGAGTGCGTCATTAACCTATTCGAATAAAATCCATAGAAATGAATCTTTCAGAATCTGTCTGTTTTCAAACTGTTCAACGCGGATGTTGACATACCAAATAACACGCTTATTTATTGGCTACAGCATGGACTGCCTAGTAAACCAGTGCAACTACGAGAAGCCACATGCTGGGAAGAATCGGGTGAAAAAAGAAGCTGGACTCCATGACGTCAGCCAGCCTACTCACTTTGAGCCATCAGACCCTTCATGTTTTTATTCTTCGCATTGTTTAAGAGAATAGGCCTATGGTTATTGATGGAATAGGATTTTTAACCAGTATACTGGCATTCTTTAATTATCAATTGAACAAAGTTCCATACAAAGGTTTGGAATTTTGGACTTCTGGTGTATATAGACTGTAGCTTATCTATAGGCATAACCACGGAACAAAATATACTAATAGTAGAAACCAGCTGCGTAGACGTTGATGTCAATACAGCGTTTTTTCGTGTACTTTCATGAACTTTCTATGAACTTTAAGTTATTTTACTGGCTACTGGCAAGCATTTCAGTAGTGAAAACTGAAGTTCGACCAGTATGAGGTAGACACGGAACTATTGGAGACTACATTTTACGCTTGCACGAACCTTTTTTAATGCCACATGGAAACGAGTGATTCACGATCCATTTAACGGACCTTGAACGATGAAACAGTAATAGCCATGATTGATTTCAAAGTAATTTACTCACTGTTCACTTACAACATTTGGATTGTGATGATTGCGATTGTTGGTGATTTTCACGCGGGTGAAGTTCACTCCTGATTCCATCCAGTAGGAGCCTAATTTTGGAGAGTCCTCTTGAACATATACATGCGGCGAATCTTTAAGGAACCAACGAAAAACGATGAGAAGTTGGTACTAAGTTGGGTAATGTCTAGATGTAAAGGAAATGTAATCACTTTTCTACCTTGTCAATAAGTTCCTATAGTCCATTTATTGGTTAAATTACGAGAAGCCCACACACTGCTTCTGCGCAGACAGCAAGGTAATTACAGCTCTTTCAAGCAAAAGAGGATAATTATGAAACCAGTCAACAGCGTGCAAAGTGAGCATAATGTACCCCCCCCCCCCCCCCAAGATATCCAGGCACCATGCTCTCTTTCTATCTCTGTGACAATTTCGCAATGTATTCACACAAAAACTAACTACAAAAATGTAAATCCTATTGCCTCAATGCTTTCTTTCTCGTCTTTAGAATTACCAGCAGTGCACATCCGTTGGCTTCAAAAGTTTGTTTTTACCCTCATGTTTATTCCCATGCAGATCACCACATCTTTACATCATAGGTCGTGCAAGACGACGGCTGATCTGAAAGGGGTACTGCCGGGGCCCGGGGGTACTGAATTCTGAAACAATCAAAACGTATGAATAATCTGACGGAGTTCCCAGTTTATTTTAAACAACTTCGAAAAACCGAGAAAAGTTATAGCCGTTGCACGAAGTGTGTGAATCTTATCCTTTTGATGGGGCTTCAACGATGTTTAAGATGCGGGTATTCAGGATGACGCACTTCGCAAACCAATTTCATGGAGGAAATCGCATCCCTGTATAATTCCAAGTGTGTGTCGTTTACCCTGGCTCAAGGGATCAAATGCAGAGTATATCAGTCAATAACAAGAGGATAGGCGGTACTTACGTTGTCGTTCCGATAACTTCGGATCCGGGGCTTGACTGCTGATCATCCACTGTCCACCCTGGTGTTTAAATACGTGTGGTTGTACAAGTGTCATATCAAGAATGAACATGTACGTTTCCATTGGACATAATCCCGTTACGTCAATTGAAAGAGAGGGGAATACGCGTCTGAAAATTATTATCGAAACATAAGAATGAGTTCGAATGCAGTCCTTGTCAACAGGTTTCCTTCATTGATTTATCGGAGTAATGTTTGAAGTGGTATAAAATTGAGGTGAATAAATTAACGCAAATTCTGGGAGCCAGATGCAATTTTGTGTCACAGGTTTACCAGATTATCAGTAAGGCGAGAGTTACTGTTTCTCCAGTTTTGCCTATCTTGTCGCATTCACACACGAATCGGAACAAGAACCTTTTCATTAAGAATAATAATTACAGTATTGAGAACCAAATAACGGTGTGCAAACTGGCATTAGCTTTTTTGTATACGAATATTCTCCTTTTACACAAATATTGTTTCTTTTGGTCCTAAAATCGTTACCTAAAGCAGCGGCCTGCTCGTATTCAGAAAGAAACTGGACGATTGTCCCGAAGAACAAATAAATAATCTGTTACGTTGAACGGCAAAGTCAAGAGAAATTTATCAAAGCTGTGGTCTCTAAATGCCTCAGTATAATCGGGAGTGGGTGCCTCGGGATCCAAAATGGCCACTCAGCATGGGAGCTTCTCGAAATGCCCCCAGAAGACCGAGCATCTCAAACAGCCTCTGCTGAGGAAGTTCTGCACACTGTTTTTTATTGCGGAGGAGTTTTCATCAAAGTTTGAGGACGAAGGCAAACTCCCAATGCTCTTCACCGGGTTGACTGATTTTCAGTCTAGAGATGACTTACAGGAGTACAGCACCATGCTCACCAGCATCTATGGCTGAGGTTGTACTGAGCACCCAGGATGTTTGGCCTCATTCGAAGGGCGTATGAACTGAGCATTCAGTCACCTGCCTCCAATGATTCTGCCTGAAATCAGGCGGTTATATAATATCATAAATATAATGTAATATACTATATATATATAGTGTGGACAAAATATGTGTATACACCTTGGGGGGGTCGAATTTTGCAACTTACAGCTCAAAACCGTATTAGTAGACAAAATGAAGCAAATACCACAAAGGAAATAATAACGTCAGTTACGAAAGGGTGCCCGAAAATTGGATAGCAGAGAAGCAGAGAAGAAGTACATATCAAAAATAAGCCCGTTTATCTTACTGACAGGAGAAACGAGCGTGGCTTTAGAGTGAACTGAAATGTACCGAGAACAACCGTCAAGGAGTCCGTCCACTGTACTTAGTAGCTGAAGAGGAGTTTGTTTCTAACGGCATATACCAAGTGAAGCCTCTATAACTTCAAGTGAAATTACTTTAGCTTAGAGTGATTCCTACATAACTTCAAGAGAAGCCGCCGCGCGTACCTTTGTCCGAGTACACATAAGTGGTTTGCTTGGCACCGATTACTCGTCACCCGCCGACTGTTTCTCTCTTTCCCATGATGAACCCATCAGGGATGATCTGATGTCTCCGTGAAACGTGCAAAAGTATATGGAAAGGCCTTTGTAGATGGTGAGGCCGTATCGACCGATCGTTGCTAACAGCGGTGACGGTGAACAAATGTCAAGTACGAAGACTGTAACTGAGTCGACTGCGTGACTGAAACCTAGGGACGGATGCAGACGGTTGGGAAAGTAACGTTTCGTCAAACCAATACGATAGCCATCGTTTGTTTGTGTAGTGTAACAAAAATCAGAACGTCCACGGAATAATAGTTGTTTGGGCTCTATTTCTGGGGTATGTATAAGCAAATATGATATCATTGTTTTGGCAAATCATTATTATGAGAAATACCGATCCGGAAAAAAATGATAAGTCGAAAGTGCTGGCTGGTATGAGGGACAATGCGGAAATTATTGCTACTACCTGGTTATTACCTGCTTCACGAAACAACAAATATTGGTAACAGAGACTCATAAACCTACAACTAAACTGATAGAAAAGAAACAGAATTCAATTTTCTGGGGGACTTTGCTGGACTACACGCTGAAATTGAAACCGTAACAGCTCCTTTAAATGCGGGTCTCGATGCTTTATTTACTCTTTATTCTGAAAGCCTTGTGAAACCGTATCTCTTCTGCTATGAATCATTTGAAGCATTTATAACATTGAGCTGAGCATCTAAACTCGGAATATAGTACTGCTAATCTGTGTTCCAATCATTAAACAATCCTGACCCTCTGGCCACTGTTTGCCTGGTTCCTACACCAACTTAGCATTGGGGATTCGACGATTCTTAGCAATCAACCTCGAATACACATTTGTACGTTCTTCTGAGTTCATCCAAGTGGTCTTAAGTAGCTTTTGAACATTTCCCGTGACTTACATTTTATAAACATGAGTGCAAAAACCATTGATGGAAGTCCGCTAAATCTGTAGTGTTGATTTTAAACGAAGTGATCAGATTCAGCCCCGATAGTCTGGTGATTAGGTGTTCAACTCACAATTTTTCACCCCGGGATTCAAGCCTTAGTAGGGGCTTGGCGGATATGTTCTGCTGATGGAGCCTAACAGGAACGAAACGGCCGTACTTCTGCATTATGAACCATTATATGAAATTATAATCTCCTGCTGATCTCGAGGCTCCCCACTAATCTTAAACAAAGAGTGCATATGGGATTTATTCGTTCCAAGTATATGGGAAGCTGACGAAGATAATGTGTAACAAATTGAGTGGTTCCGACGGGTCACCACTGAGTGCTGGCTGAATTTCCTCTCATTTTATCCTCAGCGTCAACGTGTTTATTTGTTCAGATTATTTTTTGTCAGAATGTTCCAGATTGTATTAGAGTAGCTTTCATGATGCGAGTGGATGTTAACTGCCTGGAAGATGTTTATGGGACTCTAAAAACGATCATTATGACTGCAGTAGGCACTAGTAAAGATGCAAAAAATGTTCTGTAATATGTCATTTCATCCAAAGCTCTTGACGTTTGTGTTCAAAAGACTCCTGTTGCATCGAAACTCCTCAAAGACGAGAACTTACGGCCGGGTCAGCTTTACCTTTGTCACTTGAGCGTATTACTGGATTCTATTACGTTATACACACTTTATTTTGTTTTCCACTCCATGGACAAAGTAAAACCATCAGTATTTGTACTCAAGACTATGATAATACCTTCAGTTGCGTAACAAGGAAAACGTCGTCACGTACATTAGGTGCAGATGGTAAGCTGCCACCTTCCGGAAGTCATTTTTCTGAAGTATAAAGTATTATTTTTACTTCTTTTTTTATTTATTATATAGTAGTGGGCAAAGCTTCAGGAAGGGGCCACGGCCAATGGAAGGCTGCCAAACGGGGAAGTGACTGGCTCGGCTGAAATCGGATCCAGGTCGTTATTTCCCAAATTCCATGATGATATCGGTTCAACCACCTTTATCGATCGTAAACGGTCAACACGTGCTCGTGGTCACGATTTCCTAACTACTTTCAGCGACAGACTTTCTTCAGTGTGTACTTCTATCATTCCCTTTGTATCCCACGTAAGCAAGCATAAACTATTATTTTAAAAAGTCCACTTTTATGCTTCAGTGAATAGTTCGTTGGCTGATCTGTTTTCTTCCATCCCTTAGTCGTAACTCACAATCTAAAATTAACACGGTCAAACCATTTGCACACTGTTAACATTTTAATTCGTTCACGGCAAGACATTTCTCGCCATGTCTAAAACGAACGTGACGAAATGCACACCGTGGTCCATGTCTGACAAATCTGGATTTTACCTGAAGCCTGTTTTATCATAGGGTTTGTGGTCCACTCCTTCAGCTTACATAAAGACTTCGGATGGGACGAACTTAATCCGCAGATAAAAATACTTTTCACAGTTCAACACAGGTGAAAGGTTGCAGGTAAAGAAATCAATACAACTATAGAATGATTATTAACTAGAAGGGGGTCGTGAAACAACAGCTGTGAGAAGTCTATTAATCAGGGACATATTCTTGGGTGAAAAGTTGATCTATTTTGGCTCTGCGTATGTTTCGTAGGCAGGTTACGAGTGTTCCCTTAGTATCCCTAACAGGAGAGGATGACAGTCGTTGGAAGTAGAACGGCAAACAGTGGAACTGGTAAACTTGCCCTTTAGGTCTTCAAGAGGACCGAATAATCGTTCTTAGGTTCTGAGGAGGACCAGTGTGTCGCTTTCCAATCCAGATGTACATGGTATTTCTTGTTACCGTAACTGGTCATCGCTGAACACTCGTATAAAACAGATACTTCTCCCTCCTAGAAATCCATTAGTTTATTTCCCTGTGGCATTGTTCTGACAGAATTCGGTGTGAGTTCTGTAAGGTGTATAAGTGAAACTAACGCCAATGTCACCGGCAGTGGCTACACTGCCAGAGCGCATCGCATTTTCTGGTGCACATGGCTCATATGATTCCGGTGGTCACGGATTCGTCAGTCGCCAAATCCACAGGTCTAACTAATCAGCTTGTTGCCGGCCTGAAGAAACTAACTGGTAATTCAGAGTTTTCCATGAGATGGCGCAACTTATGTCACCCTCGTTTTCTGCGTTAGCGCATAGTGCATACTTTCATTCTGAAATGTGATATGCCGCATCGTACCGTACCGGTAGTTCGAACCAGATATAGCTTTGTTAGAGAAAAGCGGGGAAAATGGGGGTCCTATACTTTTGTCGCGAACTGTATTAGCTCTCAGTTGGATGAGATTAAGATACATACGTCTTAATAAGATCTGGCTGGATCAAGTTTAGTATCATAAAGGAAATATCTGCATCAATCTGTGGTCGGTATTGTGAGATGGAGGCAACTATCTGGCAAATTTGTCCAGTAGGCGCGTGAGACTTCCGAACTTTTGATAACGAAGTGTCTGGGGATCTTAGGAGTCAACGGGGGATTGCTGTGTATAACAGGGAGACTGTTAGGTCTAATCGCATGCGTAAATGATGGATTGGAAGGTATGGGAAAATTATGAAAAGGATTAGAAGACGAAATGGGTGGAGTGAGCCTAAACTTACTAGGAGGTTGAGGCGAAAAGGAGAAATTCTCGTTTAGGTCTACAACAATAACTTGGCACTTTATATCGGTAAGAATGCATACTAAATTAGAGGTGATTGGGAGGTTTGTTTCAGATATCGAAAGCTTACTTTTGGTATGTTTAGGTAAATTTTATTTGGCAGTGACTGAGAATTTCCCTTTCAGGCGGAGTCTTATCTTCAATTATTTTAATCGTTTTATGTCAACGGTTTGATGCTGCAATGATTTACTGCTTAACAAAAACTCTTAGAAAAAAACTGGGATTGTGTCACACTGAGTTATCTTATGTTATCTTATACAAATTCATGACGTAGTTACCATTCCGTAAGCATTCTGTAAAGTATCCTTGATATGGGCGATAGGAACACAGTGCGGAATGCTAAAACTATCTCGTTTCAGGCGTGGTTGAGACGATGAAGAATTTCAGATGTAACTGAATCACTAAAGCGGCCGGTTGCATTTAAAATCTCTGTGGAAGACATGTCGGTCGGCTTCATGATTTTCAACTTTGTAAGAATTTAATCGATTGAATAAAAGCAACTACATGCATCAGATAAGTTTTTTCTACTATCTTGTCCTTCTCACGGAATACGTTTATTGGAGCCACAGAGAAATCCCCGAGTGCGGCAAAAGATTGGACAGTATATTCACTGCACCAGCTGTAGGGCTCGTAAGCTTAGCTTTCGAGCTTTAAATTATACCTCAACGCATATTCAATATGAAAGGATCCAGTTGAAGATCGAAAAATGGTTCGCAGAAATAGTAAGTGAATAATGCTATATGTTCACTAAGTCATATTACCCACGATATTTTGTGAACTAAGGTAGACTGAACATATCTGTGAAAACTGATTGTGAAATGAGAGTGAATTTAGTTAGCTCTCTCAGTGAGTACTCATTTGAATCAGTCTTTATCACCATTAACCGCGATTAGCTCTTCGTTTATTGCAAAGGCAGTGGTCAAACAGCTATCGCCTCCATCCCGGACTAGAACCCTCGCGTTGCCACCGGTCATGCCCAGTTGGCACTCTTTGGTTGGTCGCGACGCCCTTTCCCGAAATAATGCACTAAAATTATATGATGAAAAAGAAGTAAAGAAAACAACGGCAAAACCACTTGTAAGCACATCCTCACGCAGTCTTCGTTTATTGTCAGTTCGAAAGTTAGAGCTCTTAATATGAGCGGTATATCAATCGTGTCCGCTGATGTGCTTCACTGGCTTTTAACTTTTACGAACGCATCCATTAATGAGTAACAAGCGAGTACGTTTCTGACGTCAATCCTAGTTTTGTGAATTTAACTCCTTTTCCCCACTAACACGCATTTCAGCAGTAAGCTGCAAAATTCTACCTCCCATTGTTGTACTATTTTTTGTCAATACAGTACAGTGAGTGCTTTGGTAGTTTTCATTGGTGAGCTGAAGGTTTATACTAAGTGATAAATTATACTATATGAGTGACTTTTCTCTTTTGGCTTTTGCTGTGAATATCCCTGATGCATGAACGATGAAGTCAAGCAAAAACCAAATCCTCGTCATTAGTCCATGGGATATGGTATGCATAAACTTCATCAGTTTTTGTTCATGTCTCATTGTTTGCTGCTTACTGATACACATGAGAGGTAAATGCGTCGTTTATCATTAGGCAAGGTAAACAAAGCTGTTGGTTGCTACTGAAGATCATGTGAAGAAAAAAGGCCAAATTGAAGATGCCAACAAGGTCGCAGCTGACGCTGGTGATTACCAGTGGGAGTATGGAAGCCGCTTCACTAAATGACGAACAGTTGAAAAATACCTCAACCGAAGGTTATATAGGTGTTTTCGCAATGCACTAAGAAATAATTTTCAAGGTAGGACAGGCAGATATCTTATAAGCCGCTTACCTTCCAGTGTTTGTCGCAATCATTTCCGTACCAAACGCGTGAAGTTGAGCCCAGGTTTTTGCGTCTTTTAATCTCAATTGTACAGATTCCCCGGCTGGACTTAAGCCAAAACCAGGAGATTTGTTTGTTAGATTGACGATGCAAACACTTTGAAACAGTGGCAAGTCAGAGGTTAACCACTGCAAAGCAATTTCTGGACTGACTGTGGGGATTACTTGGGCAAGAGCTTCTCGGTCCCACTTCAGTCCGGTCTCACGACATCCTTCAGAAGGACACGAAATCATGGATATGGGATATGCGAAAGATTCTCCTGAACATGCGCTTCTCATGTCGTCCGACCTAGATCCCAGCGGGTTGCGAGATCTGGCCCATTGACAACGACGTCGAGAAACTCGTTTAACTGAATTGGCTCTACGATGTGCAGTCACCGTTTGATAAGAATGCAAATTACTCATATGTACATCAGACGTAGACTGCCCCCACGGTCCAAGAATGAGGTTGTGATGCTTTTGTGACGTCGGGTCACGATGTGTGGCACACGCTTGCATACAGTGTGAAGTGGCAGGAAGTTGTCGGTCTGCAGTAGAACGGCTAACTGAAGCTTTCTTTTCAGCCCATTGAGTGCAGCAATGGGGCTTTTGTGGACGGTTTGCCCAACAATAATTCATGGGCACAGTTGCAGGGCTTGGTAAACGAGAGGTCTCGGGACAGTTCATTCCTGGAAAATGATCGTAATTCCATCGATAATAACCTTTTGTTTTCATTAAGTTGCTTGCCTGTGAGTCGTTTGGCAATCCGTGATATGGAGGTGGATGTGCACTGGAAAAGTGTTTCGGCGAGAAGTGATCCAGTCTACCTTGAATCGCTGCTGAAGAGGGTATCATGGTTGTGGGACTGTGACAGTACGACGTAGTGTAAGTTTGATTAGATATGGAGTTATTTGTACGGAATGAATTAGGGATCGTCATTTCACACGGAATGTACGAACGGATTATGGGTGAGGGAAATGTATTCAAGCCTAGATCTTGATATTCCGATATCGGATTTCGGCTGCTGGCAGGATGTGTTAGAAACAATTTTGGGGTCAGTACTTCCGTGCTGTACGCTGCATGCTGTTGTTGTGATTGTTGTTGCTGTCGGTTAGGTCCGCTCGTTATCAGGCCGCCAGGTTTTATTCGTCCAGAGTCCATACACGTCCCCTGGTTTGGTTCCGGAAGTCCCATAACCGGAATATGCGTGGTTCTGTCAAATGCACTATCCTCGTGACATGATCTACACAAGGAGGTCGCTTTATCTATTCCACATGCGTAGTAGCCTTCATTCGAACTCTCCTCGGCTCCCCCGTCCATCGGCTCAGGTCGGCCCTGACCCAAATAGGACTGGATACTTGTGTCTCCACCAGACGAAGAGTCATGCAGGAAAAACGGTGAACTAGTAGGAATCGGTTGATGGCATTTTACGGTGGATTGTTCCGCGCGGTCCGCAGTTTGCAAATCCGAGGTATAAGTGAGTAGGCTGAGGAATGTTTCACCGGGTTCTGTATTGTGAGGGTGTCCTGTATTGACGATCTCTTCTTTCGACTTGTTCATCTTCATTTGAACGGTGATATAATACTATTTTAATGAAATAAAAGGAACAACATTCAGGATGGTTTATGAGTCGTCAAACAAGTTATTGTTTTCAAGTATTAGGTTTTCACCCCAAGATAGCCTTAAATTAGCAAAGCAATGAAAATATAGAAAATGCCAAATCACGTCACCCCAGTCATATTACTCGGAGAACTGGAGGAAGGGATACCGCCAATGATGCAATGGGGGTACAGTAAGTAAACTCAAAGCACTGAAATCTCAACCTCCGGGAGATTTTCTCACCAACCTTTAATCCACGACTGAACGGATATCGTAGTTGGAGGCTATCACTGCCCCTACTTCTTAAATCACAACTAACACTAATTGTAATCAGGCAGAATATTAAGTGGCCCGTTAACGGGCTGTCACTTGTCTCGTGGTTGGACTACGTGGGATCCTCTATGACGTTCGATTGGATGCAAGTGGTTTGTTTCTAGAGGTGTACCGAACAGTTACAGGAGACAGTCTGTGTGGCTGAATTCCCCTCTCGGATTCAAGAGTGCACGAGGGGACGTGCGTTGACACTCAGGAAGCTACCTTCTACTGAGCTACCGTTGCTCTACTCTCTATCCAGAAGGTTGACTATCTCGTGAAACTCACTGCCAACTGACGTGTTGGAAAAGCTAAATCACAAGTATGCCAAGCTGAAGCAGAAAGTTTGTCTGAATGAGATGGCGGGGACCTCTCTCCTAAAGTCCACAGTTCGGAGCTGTAAGTGACGAGGCTGAAAGGAGAAAGTGTCCCAGTGTATCTAATCATGAACATCGAAGATTGAAAATTAAAACTAAATCATGGTACTGTATTCATTTTAGAATGCAAATAAATTTTGTTCGTCACAGTTTTGGGCATAAATAAAATCTCTTTAAATTTCAGTGCGCTTAGGGACACTAAACCTATCCTGGAAATTTCTAATTCCAGTTTTTCTACTTAAAATATTTGCGATTTTTCAGCGTGAACAACAACAAATAGACTTGACACAGAACGACACTGTCTGCATACTCCGAGGAGTGAGCAAGAAAATGACAAGTAAATAACTGAACTAGTAAATTTGGGGAATAAATGAATTACCCAATCCGTAATCCCTAGTCCACGGTATGGAGTAGTTTATGCCCAAGTTGATGAGCCGCGCCCCTATCGGCTTGACATTTCGATTCCGTTACATGATAAACATCTCAATATTCCCAGAAGCTGCGTAGCATACCACATTGTTTTTAGTGAGTGTTTACCGTCTGCTTTTCTCAATAAAAAACATTAATTTCATTTTCGTGGCTTTCAGTCGCAATAAGGAGACATCATCATCATCATCATCATCATCATCATCATCATCATCATCATCATCATCATCATCATCATCATCATCATGCAGCTTGAAATAGTAGGGCAAGCCGCATTGACCACTGCATTTCTCACCATCTCGCACGTTGAATTAGAAAGTATGAATATGCAAGATGGACAGGAATTGGACCTACACGGGAAGGATACGGAAAGAATGCCCTACTACCCAACACACGGAATATACAGTCTAACTGTACAAACACGCATTGATCAATCATTCTGATTCGACAGAAAATGACAATACGATGGCCACCGTTCACGGTCTGCTACCGTATCGTTCAGTGTCCCCAACCAACTGGTTGACGGATACGCTGTTATAGAAAACTCCCTGAACTGACACCCAATACTCGCTTTCTGACCGCAACATTGTTCACTCGGGTATTCCACCCAATCTTAGAGATACTACACGGAGATCGGTGGTCGAAAACTTCAAGACGACAAATATCTTCCTCAAGCAGACCCCAAGTCTTGCAGCCATACAACAAAACTGAACGCACTGCGGCACAGCATACACGACCTTGCAACTTAAGTGAAATATCAGGTCGGCGCCACAAGTGCTTCAGTTCAGCGTACGCCGCTCGAACCTTGGATATGCGCGTGCTCACCTCTACTACCGCGCTCCCATCCGTCGTCACGCCGCTGCCGAGGTAACTAAAGCGGCCAACCATGGCCAGCACCTCCCCATCGAGCATCAAGCTCGGAATAGTGGACGTCCAGTCTTGCAACATCACTTTACACTTTGAAGGCGCAAAGCGCATACCGAATGGAACTACAGCTCTTGCGAGTCTATCTAGTGCACGTGGTGCATGTTCCGTGCATTAGAACAAGCAGACAAGGTCATCCGCGTAATCTAGGTCACACAGCTTTTCACTGTTTCCTTGATCGATGCCCACATCCTGGAGATCTCGCAAGAAACTCTCCAATATTTTGTCCATTACGAAGTTGAATAGGAATGGAGACATGGAACATCCTTGTCAAACACCACCGGTCATTTCGAACCGACCGGATAGTTCACCGTAGACCGTTGTGCGGCCAGAAGTATGTGAATACAATGATCTCAGTAGGTTCATGAACTTCTGGGGCATGCCTTTTCAATGAAGGGTACTGAATAGCGCTGTTTGATCAACTGAATCGAAGGTGCATTTCAAGCTAAGGGAATCCATTATTGTAAGTCGACGGTGTGTGTGACGCATTTCAAGTAGCTGGCGAAAAGTAAAAATCTGATCGATGCATCCTCAACCTGTGCGGAATCCGGCCTGTTATTCGCGGGCGTTCCTTTCGTGAGCCGGTGTCAGACGATGCAGCAAAATCGAGGCTAATACCTTGGTCATTATCGGAATCAAGCTAATTCCACGAAGGTTATTACAGTCATTGAGTATTCCTTTCTTGAGATGGGTACAATCGATGACTCACCCCATAATGACGGAATGCTTTCCTCGTTCCAAATGTCACGGAGCAAGGTGGTAAGTGATTTTACCAAAACATTTCCACCCAGTTTGAAGAGAACTGGAGGAAGTTCGTTGGGACCGGTCGCTTTTCCACGCTTTAGTAATCGAATACATGACTTCACTTCCACTTCCGATGGGGGCTCACATGATACTCTTCAAGGAATCGCAGTTGTTGACACAGGAGTAACTACATTAGCAAGTGGTCAGCTAAACTGTTCCTTGAATAAGTCTGAACAGTCTTTGACTGTTATCTGAAGCAGCTGCTATTTCCATTTCTAATAAAGAGACAGACCAGTTTTGGTCCCGTTGGCTGACCCAATTTGGGATTGACAATAAATAATCGTGAATGAACAGCATATCTGAATTTTACTTTTGCATATAGCCAGTAACTGCAATCTGGATAAAGACAATACAAACGTCACCCTAATGTTGTAACCAAATACGAGATGTTTTAGCGAGAACATTAGGTAAGAGTGGATTTTATGAATCCGAAAAAATTTTAGTAGTTCATTTTCGTTGACAGTCTGTGGTATTTTATCTCCTCTTTGTAGGAGCACGCATCGTACATGCCTTTAAATCTGAAAAACCAAAAAAATACAACACAGCAAATTTTCTGAGGAGTAAAAGTTTCGGATGAATCAGTCATAAAAACGGAACGAAGTATCACTCGTGACCACTATGCGCTAATCTTTTGTGCGTTTATACATAAGACAGTATGAATCGTGTTGGTGTCCCTTACACTTCCGCTTTTTTACTATACCGTGGGTTCCTTCTAGAGGAAAATAAACACAGGCGTGTGGAATAAATACGCTTGGTTGATTATGCACCTTAGACCAAGATGACGATTGCAAGATCTACTTGATCCATATGATCTATATGGATCATAAAATGCAACATCATTTTCTCCGATGAATTCATTATTTCAGTGATATACATAACCTGCATTCCAACAGTTGATGTTTGGATACGTATACCACGTGCTATAGCAGACAGTGGTAAATTATAATGCTAATAACACGACACCGTTCGTGGGCGTTTTAATTCGCCAACCACGGGTTGATAAGTCCACTAAATACCCAAGATTTGCGTAAACCATGGTAAAACATTTTTTGTGATTGTGTCATTCTAATGAGCTTGCTTCTCAATGAGAGCTCACCAGCAATTCAAATACAACGGGCGAAAAATGAATCTAGTAATTTGACAAACCAAGCTTTCTCGATAAAAATTAAACCGATTACCACAGCTATCATGATTGCTAAACTAACGGTTATCATCAATGGAAAATTGCGTCTGTAAATGTCAATATTATATCTCACTAGCCGTGACCAAATCACGAGACTAATATAGCGCGAAGTATGCAGTTTTAAAAAGCAGTTTCTTATCAGTAATATACCACAACATTCCAGTTCCATTAATGCATAAATTTTAATGTGAACCATTTTTGATAACATGAGTTACACGTGAGCACTACTCAAGTTATATGGTTCAACCTGGTGGGGAATTAAATCTCCGAGAAAAGGCCTTTTAATTGACTCATTGATAATCAGGAGTGCTACCTTCTACGTCATCCCAGAATAATCTGATGGACCCACTGAAATTGTGACGAAAACTGAAGACTTCGGTTCTGTGAAATATTTACTAACTTACCTTGATTTGAAACAATACCGGATGTTTTCTTGAACGACCAGATGGAACTCCTTTTTGTCCTTAGCCCAATTAGGTCGTTGATACTAGAAGTTCACAATGGTTCACTGCGAAAAACCGGTAGAACAGTCATACGTACTATATGGCGGGGATTTTATATCCCACATTTGTCAGACTCGACGACACTTTGCCCACTATGTGACAGCCCACCAAACTTTCATGTGAGAAGGGGACTGATTAATAATGGGTATGGGATTGTCGCGCGACAGACACCCCCCCCCCATCCTTCTTATCGCCACTGCGGATGACGGTTTCTCGCCCTATGCGCTCAAGAGACAACGAAAGGAGACGAGTGGAGCATGAGCATGTATGGCCTGAGAAAAAAGGAATCCAATTGGTTCAACTGGGATTTTCAAACTGACGGGATACGCCGTAATGATTGGGTGACAAAATCCCGCTCACCGAAAATGGTTTACATGAGATACTTGATGACATGAACAAGACGTACGGCAATAGACAGGAAGAATTACAAGGAGCATC